ACGCCGGGCTGCGGCCCCGGGACGCACGGCGCCCTCCCCGGAGGCCCTTCCTCGAGGCTCTGCGAAGAAGAGCCCTCGCTCTTGAGATCCAGGGCCGGCCGCTCGCCCCCCGGGAAGGCTGACGAGAGCAGCGCAGCGGGGCCCGCAGGGGGCGCCGCCGCAGGGGCGGCCTGCAGGCTGCTTTTCTGGGACGCCTTCTTCAGCGGCTGGACCACTTTGCTCTCCTGCAGCGGGGCGGGGACCCGCCCAGGGCTCTCTTTTGGAGGGGCAGCTGGGATCTGACTGCTTTCTTTAGGGGACTCCCCTGTCGCAGCGGTGGGACACCGACCATGGTCCTGGGAGGCTGGCTTGGCATTTTTGGGCAGATGCTTACTCTGAAGGTCAGTGGCGGCGCCTGGCAAGCAGCACTCTGGCGGGGGCAGCCTCTTGCTTTCCAGTTGTTCTGCCTTCGATTCTTTTGACCACTGCTTCAGTGGGGAGAATGTCCCATTGTCCAAACAGGGGATTCCACCAGAGGGCAAAGGCGCCTGTTTAGAATTCTTAGGGTTCCCACTATTGCCCTGCGAGACGCCCCCAGTCACTCTGACACAAACGCTGCCGTTCCTCAGAAGCCCCTTGCTGGGGTCCGCGTTCACACTGGTTCTCGGTTTGTTGGTCCTTACAGGGTGTGTTTTCTTCTGGACAAGGCTCAGAATGTAGCCATCCATTTTCTTACTGGATGAAGGGTGGGGAGCAGACCACAAGCTGCTTGGCGATCGTAAGGAAGTGTCTGTCTTGATGGTGTCCAGCTGAGGTCCGACACAAATGTCATTGGCATGGTTACCGAGCCTCTCTTCTTCCCTCAGAGGGTTGCCGGTCAAGCAAAGGAGAAACATTGGACTCTGCACGGCCACGGCGTGAAGTGGACTGGGATAGCGATACACGTCATTCCCGTTTTTAGACACCAGATCACACTGGTACTTGGGATTCACATCTGCAATGACATCAAGGGAATTAAATTGTGGTGTGGAGGGGGAACGGCAAACTGCCGCTGAGGCCTGGTCTTCACAGTGGCCTGCTTTACATTCCAACCATCCTATGAGATCTGAAAAACATTTAAAGGTACACTCTGAAGAAATGAATTGGCCAGCACCAGCTTGACTCTGGCCAATTTTTATGAAGACAATTCATGGGGAGAGAGAGAATGCCAAAGAATTAAAAAATACTCCACTAGGATGAGGGGAAAAATATTTAACAAAGAAATGTTTAACAAGATATAATATATCCTCTGAAGGAAAAATGTTCAGCCATTTAAAAAGCTTTCAAATATTGAATAATATGGGGAAAACACTTTGAAGTTTAGTGAAAATCATGATATAATACCAGAGTATGATTATAATTTTATTAGTTGTGTATATGCAAAGAAAAAGTCTGAGATGAAGCATACCAAGATGCTAATAGTAGCATCCCAGTGTGGTAGGAAAGCAAGTAATGTTTACTTTCTTCTTTATTTTCTATTTTCTAAATTTTCAATAAATATGTACTGCATTTATAACTGGAAAAATAAATGTTTTTTGAGTCATTCTTTCTCTAGGTTACTCTCCCATCTGTGTTCTCTTCCTGGTTTCCCTTTAAAATACAGATAAATTATACTTTCTGTGGGCTTTCTCCTCATTTTGCATTTTTTTAGACCTAATTTTTATTGATACATGTTCGAGTATAACTTCATTGAAAGGCCAGAGAAACTGATCAAATTTCAGTAGAGACTAGCCAAATTTAAAAAATAATGACCTTATATTTTCAATAGTGACACTAAAGAATAAAACAGTATTTTTTTTTAATCAGAAGGAATTCTTGATAAGGTTTTAAAAGATTGAGTAGTAGATAGATTGATTAAATAAATTTCCTACAACTCAAAATGTAGATGCCAAAATACAATGAAATCAAGCTTTCTTGCTTAATTAAATGATTTTGATCTCTTATCTTGGCGACTATTATACATATCAAATCCCTTTAATGACCTTCAGTTAGAGAAAAATCAGTTTTTGTCATTATTTAATTTGTCCTCCATTATAATTATATTTATTCACTCAAATATTGAAAACCTGCTATGTGCCAGATTCTATGTTAATTGTTTCATTTAAGGGAAAGCTCCATGAATTTCAATGATAATTAGTAGTCTCAAGGAAAATATAGTCTACACCCAAAATTGATCTGATTCATTTGTAAAGAAAAGACTATTATAAAAGTGCCGTGTCCCCACTTCCCACCCCCACTCCCAATAAATAGCTTGTAAGAAACGGAAACCTGTCTAGCTAACATCCTTGCCCATCCCTCCTCCTCCACTACCCTGAGCCCCATCCTTGCCTTGCTTAAAGCCACATTTACCTACACTTCACCATTCATCCCTTTTCCCTACTTAGAGTAAAGGAACAAAACAGGTATCTCAGCCCCCAACGTCCAGCCCAACTATGTCAATTATGTGAGGATGTGGCATTTGGGAGAGCAGGGGTCTGTCTTCAAGGAGAACCTATACCAGAGAGATTTTAATGGGTTTATAAAGTTTCCCCCTGAAACCAGATCTGCAGAGTGAGGGGAGTAGTTACCCATGAACTTGAGGCGCAGACACTAGATAACACAGATCTGTGCTCCCTCAAATGACTGCTGCTGACAATACACACTGTACAAACACAAAGACACCAGCCAATCAGCAGCCTCAGATGCTTAGTGTTATATTTGCATTGCCAAGATCTCAAAAACTCAGCCTTATACCCAAGTGGAGAACACAGACAAACCGAGGGTGCAGTGGCTTGTGCCAGCACCTACAGCTCCTCTAACCTCCACATTTTCTATGCCCTTCTGAGCAATCACAGTAAAGCAGAACTAAGGAAGGAGTCCTGCATTTCAGCAACAACTATGCCATTCAGCAGAAGAGGAGCCTCTCACAAACGGCATATAAAATCACATCCCTCCTCTGTTCACTGAGAAGGTTGAACACAACAATTTCTGAATTCCCTTGGTGTGGTGGAAAAACATGGACCTGGCAGTTAGGCTCAAGCTTGGATCCTGCCTCTGCCACTCACTAGCTATGCAGCCTTAAATGACCTTCCCTAACCTCACTAGGCCTCATGTTTCTGATGCATAAAATGGAGCTAACACCACCAGCACCCTGCAGAAGTGTGAGGAGGAGTCAAAGGAGAGAAATGTAAGCCGTACAATGCAGTACAGTGTGTAACGCATAGTGGAAATGCAGAAACTCTTCTAGTACCAACAGCAGCATGATTCTCTCTAGAGGTCACTGCAAGGATAGTCCAAAATGGGGGAAAATGGCACATGGCCTCGGGAGGCCTCATCCCACCCAACTGCTAAAAGAAAAAAGAGCTGCCATCATGCAAGGCATTCTGGAGAAACAGAGGGGCCTCTGCTCCCTGAAGTGCCAAGCAGCTCTTGGCCAGGCTGACAGATATATTTAACTTAATGTAAGCTTTAGCTTTAAATGATTAAAAGGAAAAAGCAGATCCACAGTGGTTTCCAAAGAAAATGCAAACAAGTTAAACTAACAGCAAAGGGTCAGAAACAGAGCTCAATACCTACAATATTGGCATAGGATTTCCCAAGATAAGCTGTCTTGCTGCCATCAGAATATAAAGCTAAGTGGCACCCAAAGAGGACTGGAATAGTGGTCATCTTGGTTGTAGATGCAACTATGGCACTAAATGCAGCAAGTTGATGAAATTCTCTGAGCCTTTGTTTTTCCATCAGTAAAAGGGGTTGAAGCTAGATAACCTTTAAGGGCCTTTAACTCTTCCAATTAAAAATGTCTATCAATTCTAAAAAAGACTTACCTGCAGATTTGGGGCAACCATCTGAGATAGTCAGGGTTGCCTCCAAGGGGCTGCAAAAGCAGGTGCTGGAATGACAACTGGATAAACACTCACTGAAGACCGAGTTAGAGGAATTGGAAAGGGATCCTGAAGCCCCATCGCTCAGCTCATAAAACCCTACAAATAAAACACCATTTGGAATAAGTTCATGTCAAGCAGTAACACATTTGTGCTTAAAAGGAAAAGGGGCAATTATCTAGGAAACATAGGAAAGAGGCACTTTTGGGGGGACAATTTTGGTTCACTGGATTTAGTGTCCTGACTTTATGGTTTTATTTCAAGCAATCCTCAGGAAAAGGCAAAGAGCCCATAGCTACCGTACATTTCAAAGTTAGTCTCACTCTCAAACTGACCTTCCTCCTTGACCCCGCCTTTAAAGATGTGCAACGAAAGAGACTTAGATTTGTCAAAGCCTCAACTTGATCACGAATGTTTCAGAAAGAAAAACTTGAAGAGAAAAACCCAATTAACAGAGCCAAATGGTTTAAAAGGAAAAAAAAAAAAAACTTTTGAAGTGGTCTCAGGAAGTTGAAGTGTGACTAATTTTGTAGCCCAGTTCTGACTTTCTCAAGTTTCAGAGGAGGACTGCTCTTACAGAAATCTGAATAGAAGCTTTTATTTTTAAACTCAAGGGACTCAAGTCAGATCAATCTCATTATCAAAAATTTTGTCATCTGGTTGTATTTCCCTCTCATGCAATTGAACGGTAGACTGCTTTTTGTATTCTCTCTGCACTGGAAACAAACTCCATTGCCATTTGCAGGTCTGGGAATGCTGAGGACAGGGAGTGACATAGAACTCGTGGGTGCAGAATTCCCTCCTGGCGCTCACACACTCACCTGAGCTGGGCCTGCTGTCTGTCTCCAGGTGCTCTTCAGATGTCTTTTCTACATCCAGTCTCAGGTCACTTATCTGCTTGTCGAGTTCTTGCAACTGATTCAACAAACCAGCATCTCTTCTCCTCAAACAATTCTGATTAAGAAGAAATGGAGAAAGGAAAAACGAACATATTTTGGTGACAAAGAACCAGCAAGTCTGCTCTAAGTACTCAAATTACTATCTGATGAGTTCACTAAATCTTCCAAAACCAAAATTTTACTAGATGACCAGTAAAATAAAGAAAATAAAAATAAAGAAAAACTTCAAGAATATGTCCTATGTTTAATTCCACTTTTTCACATTTTATGGTGATATAAAGTTTCTTCATAAAAACAAGACTTGCTTTTAGTTTCAACTAATATATATAAACTTTTTATTTGCAGAGTAAGAAAAAAACGCAGAGATTTTTTAAAATCCTCTGTGTACAGCCAATTTTTTACAAAACAGTACTTCACAGTAGACTCTTTAATTTGAAGTCAGACTGTAACAGATTTCCTACAATACACTATAATCTTACTGAGGTGAGATTTTCTGGCCAAATATCCTGCAGAGTTTTGTTTTCTATTAGCTGCTTTGTGGGGTTTAATCAGTCTTAGGGCCTTTGAAAGTGAGAAACGAATACTAATAGCCAGTGCCAAGGATAATGGGAGCTGGCAGAATCCAAAACCCTCCAGGGAAGGTCCATCAAGATTTGAACTCAACTCGGGTTTCCAAAGGTGACAGATCCGTAATGCTAACTCGCACCGCCACCTAGTGCTTCCTATTGCTGCAAAAGCAAAAGAACTCAAAAAGGCATCTGGTTCAAATCACAAATGCCAAGCCTACAAATGGAAATAGTACCACAAACACTGACTGAACTGGAATTCTCCTGACATGCTGCCTTGCTCCCCTCCAGGGGACGACAGGAATGTGCCACTCACAATCTTGAGATTCATGAAGACAAAAAGGTGGTATTGTAGAAGACAATGCACAAAATGCCAATGCCTGGGCACAACCAGCACAAATTGGCTCAAATCAATGTTACACGCAAATCTGGTCTGCTACCAAAGAAACACAGTTAAATACCAAAACAGAGATATCACACAAACCACGATGTACATATACATATATCCGTGCATAATAGATGCATATGTATATCTACTCCTCCTGTCTGTCCTTTGATTTAAAAAGCTTGGCGACATAAACCATATGCTTATTTACTAGAATGAGTTTCTTCAGCAAAAGTGAACCAAACAAGTAAAAGCACTTTGATGCTCAAAAAAAAGGAGAAATTATCTGAAAAGAGATAACACAAGACAACACTTGACAAATAACCACACAGCATCACTATGCTCCTTATTGTAGGAGGGACATTATCCAGCATGTGTCTAGTTTCAGATAGTATCACATGGTCAGGAAAGGATTTTTTTTTTTTTTTCTGTTTTCAAAACTACATTTTTGAGGTCACTGAAACAAAGCTGCCGCCATTATTCTGAGGCGGGGTCAAAAGCTGTTCATCAATACCTCAGGCACCAAAGTTCTTCTTCTTCCCCGTTAATGAAGATGGCAGAGAATGGCTGGGACGCTGACAGAAATCCAATAAGATAAACGCTCCCCGAGAGCAGGTTCTCTGTCCTCCCACCTCCACCCCCGTCCCAGACAGCCGTACGTAGAAAATGTGAGAGGAGGGGGCACTTTCTCCAGCCAAATTTCCATCTTTCGCATCTGTTTTAGCTGCGTTATACAAAGGGCTTCTATTTGGAATGAAGCAGCCGCCCAGGCAAGAGCTGGCGTGCTGGGGAGAGCCTGGGAGGGGCCGGACTCCCCCTGCGCGCTTCCGAGTACCCGGAAAATTCAGCCTCGGACACTTAACCGCGCCACAAGCCCCCTCCTCGGCTTTTGTCCCCTCTCAGCGGGAGGACACGAAGCTAAGACCTCCAAATGAAATGGTATTTTAAATGAGTGTTTGCAGACCTTCGGGGAGAGGGCGTGCATTCGTCTAACCAGAACGATCGAAGGTCACAACCAGGCGACTCCAAGAGTCCCGAAGGCAGAGCACGAGGGGAGAGCGGCCACCCCCTCCCTGCCCTCCGCGCGGGGTCGCCAGCCCCTCACCTGACACAAAGCGGGCACACGCCAGACACGCGCGGGCGTCGGCAGCCCGGCGCCGCGGGCACACGCGGGAATGGGGCCGGGAGGCAAGGCGGGGGCCCGAGCGACGCGAGCACTTCCCCAGCCCCGGCGCCCTCGCGCCCTCCCCAGGCCACCTGCCCGACCCTCGGCCCCTCTGCAGGGCCGGCCGTGCCCCACCTCCAGGCACGACCTACCAACTGCTTCCGCAGCAGCAAGATGTTCTCCTCCAAGAACTTCTCCTCCAGGCGGCTGCGCTGCGCCGCCTCCCCCGGCGGCTCCCCCGCGCGGGGCGCA